TGCTGCCCTGGGAAAACTCATCACAATGGGGCTCTGGAAGGACAGTTTCCTTTTGGATCGTGCCCATAACGGGCCTGATCCTGCACCCCGCCACCTTTAAGGACAGACAAAACCCACACTGCCCAAGGAGGTGTCTTGAGAGAAACGCCCGGGGCTCTGGAGAAGACAGATCCCGTTCCCCAAAAGCCAAGACAAGCACCCAGGATAGCCCTGAAGATGTCTCTCTCTCTCGCCATCCTAATGGGGCCTGCTGCAGAGATCGCGTTGGCATCTGAGCGGAGGGTGCTCTGTATCTGGCCTTCCATTCACAGCACCCGGCTCCAAGCTCCTATGCCGAACCTCCGAAGGAGACGCCAGCGTGGACAGTGAGCCCAATTTTGGCCTAGAGCTCGGGGTGTGGCAGTAGGTTCAAGGAAATACTTCGTTACACAGCAAGTAAAATGTGGAATTTGCTGCCAGAGGACGTAGTGATGGCCCCCGGCATAGACAGCTTTAAAGGGGGATGTGACCGATTCGTGGAGGACAAGTCTATCGGTGGCTACTAGCGGAGGGGTCTGAGGGGAACCTCCAAATCCAGAGGCACTAATCCTCTGGATCCCAGACAATGCTTCCTCTAAACTGTGGAGTCTTGTGAGCAAAAATTCTACTTTGTGCGCTACTGGCCTTAAAATTGTGAGCGAGCGGTTTGGCTATGGCATAAATTAGTTTGTTCTGGAGCCACATCCTTCCTGAGCGAAGACAAAAATGTGTGAGCCAGAGGCTAAAAAACTGTGAGCTAGCCCACACTGACTCAGCTTAGAGGGAACATCGCAGAGACAGCAGGCAACGTCAGGGGAAGGCCTTGGCCTCTATGCCCACTTGCTGGCAGTCCAGAAGAACTGCCTGGCAGCTGTGTGAGACAGGAGGCTGGCCTAGATGGACCCTCACTGGTCAATATAGCTGGGCTCTTCTTATGCTCCGACATTCCAACTCCATTGACGAAGCCCCACTCTAGGTACTGGAAAGCGCAGCGCTTCCAAGCATGTGCAAAGTTCCTTCCCCTCACTCTCAAGGGAACACAGCAAGAGGGGAGGCCCCTCCCTGCCCAACACCAAGGGAGGGGGGCCAGTTGAACTCCAGGATCCTTCCAACTCTCTGGGCTTTGTTTACGAGCGACGGCAAAGGATTCTGATTTGCGCTCATCTCTTTTTCGGCATCCAAAACCGCAGGGCGGAGGAGAACAAAGACGGCCCAGAGCAGCAGGGACCGCTGTACAGTTTCACAAAGGTTTTGGCCGAAAGGCTCCCTGACTTTGACCCCGGTGAGGGCAGGTTCCTCCAGGGGGCCCAGAGCCGCTCTTGCTACGGCCTTCTGAGGGCAAATTCACACGTGCGAAAAAGGAAAGGGCGCTTTTGGCACGGAGGGAGGGCCGGGCACCGGCAGGGCAAAAGGAGAATCGCAGACTCCCCCTCCTTGGCGCTAAGCTGGTGCTTCGGGCGGGGTGTGGGGCAGTTCCCCCACCACCACCACCACCGCTACAGGCACCTCATCCTCCGAGCCAGGCCTGGCCCCCGTTCTCTTCTCCCCACGCAACCGCACACGCAGGGTCCCCTCTACCCTCCGCACGGCCGTTCTGGGCAGAAGCGAGCCAGAGAGTCGCCTCCCAGGTGGGAAGCGGCACCGGAGAGAGCCCTTCCCCTCTTCCCAAATGGGAGCTGACATTTCTCTGCAGCGCCCCAGGCCACATCTGGCAAAAGCTCGCCAGCGAAGAAGGAGCACGGGTGGGCGGCGGGGGGAGGGGAGGGGGGGCTCTTCTCAGGCAGACAAAGAAAGAGAGGCCGGCTACCGAAAGGGGGTGCCGCAGGAGCGGAGGAAGGAAGGCCGTGTGCTCAGTCGGAGCGCCTGTCTGCCTAGTGGTTGGGGACTTGCTTTCGCCAGCTTTCTTGCTTTCCTTTTTTTTCTTTTAATGCAATTTTTTTTCTGTTGCCAAGGCAACCGGCTTAGCGATGCTGCAAAAAAAAAAAGGCACCGGGGAGGGGATGGAGCGGCCTGGCCCCTCCTCCGGCCCACCACGCTCCCTGCACCTGCAACTTCCCCGGGGGAGCTCTCCCCGGCCTCCCACCCGGGAGCACCCATGCACCCTCTCTGGAGAGCCCCAGAGTCCGGGGCCCTCCCAGGGAATTTGGAAACGGAACTTCACGAAGGGAGAGGAACGGGGAAAGCACCTCAAGGAGGGAAGCAAGGCCATCAAAATCTCTTCGGAGGGAGGGGGCACCACGGAAAAGGATTCTGGGAGCCAGAAGAACGCCTGAGTAGGGGGAAAGCCAGAGTTCCCAAGATGGCAGTGGCGTGCGTGTGCGTGCATGCGTGTACCTTCAGGACGGGCAACCTAATTTCATGTTCAGTGGCTTTCACAGTTGTGTGACGGCAGAAATTCCACAGGAGCAGCTTCTCTGGGCATGGCCTTGCAAATGACAAGGCAGCCTGCTGTTGTCCAAGGGGGCAACTCTAAAGGGGGGTGGTGTGCTGATGTGGGGAGGCCAGGAGGACCTGGACGGTTTGGAACAAAAAGTCGGGAGCTGGCTTAAAGCAAAGGAGCGCTGGGAACCAACGTTAAACGGGGGAAGAATCAGGATTCTGGGTGCTCTCGGAGGGAGGGAGTCGAGGAGGTTAAAGGGGGGGGTGATGAACCTCGGGACGCCGCAAATCCTTTGGGAAGGGGAATTAGCCAGTTACAGAAAGATGGGGAGACAGGACAGATGGAGGCTCCTCTAGAGAAAGCGGTTGCACTGGAAACCTACTAAAAGAGGGTGTATTGGGGAAGGATGCCTGGGATAGCCCTCGATACAAATGCAGGCTTTCTGCTTCTCCTAAATGACTCCAGCTATTCCCAATGTACATTCCCCCACTGGTGGACCTCCTGACGGCACCTGGTATTTTTGGCCGCTGCGTGACAGAGAGTTGGACTGGAGGGGCCATTGGCCTGATCCAACATGGGCTTCTCTTACGTTCTTATCCTTAGGAGTGAAGCTCTATCAGAACCTAAGAATATGAGGGGGACCCTGGAATGGGGGGCTTCTTACTCCCCACCCCCACAAGGGGCAAAAGAGAGATCAAATCTGGCTGATAGCTTGATGACTCCCTTCCGGAAAAAATAGTCTTACAACAACTGGATCTATATTAGGGGCGGGAAGCCATGACAGGATGTATCCAGCCAGGTTTTCTGCTAGTGAAAAAAAAGTAAGGGGCTCCCCTTTAATGCCCCCCCAAGGCTCTTCTTGGGGTCACAAGACCTGTATGTATGTTGCCCAGGCAGGACCGGGGTGTGGTAAGGAGAAGACCTGGGGGTGACTGAATGGAAAACCTGGCTAGATCCAACCCACCAGTGAGAAGGTGCCCCTGGGAGGCTGCGCAAAGGTTCAGAGGGTGGATACTCAGCAGCCAGATTTGGATTGAAGCTCTGAAAATCCCATCTTTGGTTTCTTAAGGAAGAGACATACAACTGTTTGTGGGACTCTGTCGTCTTTGACCGGCTCATCAATCACTGAACAGGGTGAAAATAACCAAGTAGCATCAAGATGGGTTGCCCTGCTAGTCTGTCGGTAGCAGTGGAAAAGAGTCAGAGTCCCAGTAGCGCCTTAAAGACTAGCCAAACTGGTGGCAGGGGAGGAGCTTTCCAGAGTCACTGCTCACTTCTTCAGATACCTTCAGTGAGCAGTGACTCACCAAAGCTCCTCGGTTTCTGAAGGAAGAGACATACAACTGTTCGCGGGACTCTGTCGTCTTTGACCGGCTCATCGATCACTGAACAGGGTGAAAAATAACCAAGTAGCATCAAGATGGGTTGCCCTGTTAGTCTGTCTGTAGCAGTGGAAAAGAGTCAGAGTCCCAGCAGCGCCTTAAAGACTAGCCAAACTGGTGGCAGGGGAGGAGCTTTCCAGAGTCACTGCTCACTTCTTCAGATACCTTCAGTGAGCAGTGACTCACCAAAGCTCCTCCCCTACTACAAACGCTGTTATTCTTTAAGGTGCTACTGGGACTCTTGCTCTTTTCCACTGCAAGCGGCATCGACCGTTCTAGAGCAGAGAAGGCGCCCCCAGCCTGGCACCTCCAGGCATCAGAAGAGGAAGTTCTGTACCTAAGACCAGGGGTCATTTGGGAACGGAGCGAGCTGGAGCAGCCCTCCAGCAGCCCAGGAGCGGGCTTGCGGAGCAAGCAAAAAGAAAAGGGGTTTAAACTTTAAACCCCTTCTCTCTTCGCTTCCCCCCCACACCTTGGCAGGCCGGCTGGGGGAGGGAAGGGGAGGCTTTTGAAGATGCCTCCCCCCCTTTTTGCTTCCCCTTCTGACACACTTCCGGTGATGTCAGGGGGCGTGGCATATGCTAATGAGGTATGCTAATGAGCTCCTGCACCTCTTTTTCTATGAAATGACCCCTGCCTAAGACTGTCTCCCGGCGGCTGTTGATCCAAAGTATTCATAGAAAGAAGACAAGGCCTTCCTTCTTTGAATATTCCTGTTCCCACCAATGCTCCCTCTAAGCTATGGAGTCTTGCGAGCAAAAATTCTACTTTGTGAGCTCCTGGCGTTAAAGTTGTGAGCGAGCGATTTGGCCGCTGCATGAATCAGTTTGCTCTGGAGCCGTCCTTCCTGAGCGAAGACAGAAATGTGTGAGCCGGAGGTTAAAAAACGGTGAGCTAGCTCACACTCACTCAGCTTAGTGGGAACACTGGTTCCCATGGGACTGTCCCCGAGGGGCCAGATCAGCCCTTCCACTAAGAAGCCTCAGGAGACTCACGTTTTTAGGAGGGTCAAGGAAGGTGGGTGGAGGTGGTGGGACTCAGGAGGTGCATCGGTTGGTTGGGGTTTAGGGTTAGGGGGTGGGTTAAGGTCAGAACGTTCACCTGGGTTACTCGCTGGGGGACCGGGTGGCCATACAAGGGAAGGGGTTCTGTCTGTCATGCCGGAGGGGAAAGGAGAGGGAGTGTACGGGGGGGGCACTGCCCTAATCCGCTCCCCCTCCCCCCCCTTGCTCTTACCGTCCTCCATGGGCACGTAAATGTTGAGGTAGAGACAATCTTCACTCTGGTTCTGGACGTAGCCGGCCACTACCTCCAGGTTGTCGGTGAACCAGACGGGCAGCATAATCCCGGGCAGCATGCCATGAATGTTCTGCGGGCAGACAGGAGCGAAAGCTGTGGCGTTGCGCACCTCAGACCAGGAAGCGGGTGCCTCAGGCGGCTGGAAACGTCTCTCCCCGACGGGCGGCGTGGCGTACGGGATCCCGAGGTACTGCACGACGGGGCCGAGGATTTCGTTGTTCAGGTCCTTCTTGATCCCCCGGAGTTTGCCATAATTGGTGGGCACTATGGGATACTTGTCCTCGGGTTTCTGCCCCAAGAGGGGCAACGTGTGGAGAGCCAGCCCCAAGAGCCAGAAGAAGAGGGCGGAGCCCGTCCGGACATTCAGCACCCGAAGGGCAACACTCAAGGGTGCGAGGAACATGGCGGCCGTAGGGCAAAGGATGCTGGGTAGGGGAAAGAGTATTCCTCACAGAAGGGGGAGAGAAAGAAATGGAGGCGACCCAAGCAGAAGTGGAGGAGGAAGAGGAAACCCCCAGGAGAGGGGGGCGGCAGGAGCGGTTAGGCGGCCCGGCGGCCTGAGCCAGAAGCACAGGAGGGCTGTCCAGCAGACAGAGGGGGTCTGTTGCGTTCCATCGCCAGCCAGCAGTACAATCAAAGTCCAGCCGGGCTCGAGGGAAGCACCTGTGAGCGAAGGGAAGGGGGAGAGAGAAGTGAAGGGGTGAGCGACTCCAGAGGCCCAGAGAGAAGGACACCGGTGGAGGGAGGGAGGGAGAGAGAAAGAGACAGACAGAGAGAGAGAGAGAATTGCTTGTGGGGTAGACAGGACAGACGGAAAGAAGGGCCACAAAACCCCTTCTTTCTCCAGGGGGCGGCCATGTCAGCCTGCGGAGGAAGAGCCCGGTTTGAGCCCATCGGCACCTCGGAGACCAGCAATGGTTTCCTGGGTAGGAGCTTCCTAGAACCAAAGCTTCCGAAGGTATTGGTCAAAGGGCGCATTGACTCTCGAAAGCACCTACCCAGAAAGCCTCGTGGGTCTCCGAGGTGCTGCTGGGCCCCATTCAGACCCCGTCCTAGTTGCCTCCCAGCCGTTTTTCTTCCCTCAAAATCCCAGACGGTCCCTGACAGCCCCTTTACCTCCTCTACATCTCTGCCCCCAAACGGTCAAAACTGGGAGGTGAGTGAAGAAGAAGAGATTGGATTTCTACCCCGCCCTTCGCTTGGATTCTCAGAGCGGCTTACAAACTCCTTTCCCTTCCCCTCCCCACAACGGACACCCTGGGAGGTCAGTGGGGCTGAGAGAGCTCTTTCCAGAACTGCCCTTTCAAGGACAGCTCCGACAGAACTGTGGCTTGCCCAAGGTCATCCAGCAGCTGCGAGTGGAGGAGTGGGGAATCAAACCCGGTTCTCCCAGATCAGAGACCGCGCACTACACCACTGGGTTAACCGCTGGGGGATACAGCCCAGGGGGTCCCCTCGTTCCCACACAGACTGGCAGGAGCAGCCTGAATGTGGAACATATTTCTGTCAAAGGAGCCAGCCCCCCCCCCCCAACTATGGGCCACTTTAGATGATGTGCACTCCACGGCCTGGAGAATATCCCATAAGGATACCCAAAGCTGGGGCCAACAGTGAAGAATAAAAAAGAGGGTGGGTTGCATTCCTGGGCAAGCTCTGGCTCCCCAGAAATCATCCTTCTTCCTTGCGCAAATCACTCTCAAGCAATGCTCCCTCTAAGCTGTGGAGTCTTGTGAGCAAAAATTCTACTTTGTGAGCCACTGGCATTAAAGTGGTGAGCGAGCGGTTTGGCTGCGGCATAAATTAGTTGGCTCCAGAGCCATCCTTCTTGAGCTAAGAAGAGATTGGATTTATACTACCCGAAGGTGTCTCAGAGCGGCTCACAAACTCCTCTCCCTTCCCCTCCCCACAACAGGCACCCGGTGAGGTAGGCGGGGCTGAGAGAGCTCGTTCAAGAACTGCCCTTTCAAGGACAGCTCTGCCAGAACTACGGCTCGCCCAAGGTCATCCAGCAGGTGCAAGCGGAGGAGTGGGGAATCAAACCCGGTTCTCCCAGATTAGAGTCCTCTGCGCACTTAACCACGACACCAAAAATGTGCGAGCCAGAGACTAAAAAATTGTGAGCCAGCTCACTCTAACTCAGCTTAGAGGGAACACTGCTCTCAAGTATCGTGCCTGACCTGAATGGGGCAGGCCAGCCCGAACTCATCAGATCTCAGCAGCTAAGCAGGGTCAGCCAAGGAGTGTCCAGGGAGTCAATACGCAGAGGCGGGCAATGGCCAATCACCCCTGAATGTCTCTGGCCTTGAAAACCCTCGCCCGTAAGTCAGCTGGGACTTTACAGCACTTTACAGCACCATCAGAACGCCTCCCCCCCCCTCCAATTGGAGGCGTTTTTTGCTGATCCACTGGAATAAGGCATGGGTGGTTCTGCACCACAAATTCAACTTTCAGCCACTGAAAATTCTGTATTCCTGTCACTGGGAGACGAGCGGCCCCACCATTCTCTCCAGCCCAAAGCCGAGTTTTAAGGTGAGTTGTTCACAAAGGGGGAAGCCCCTAGAACAGTGATGGCGAACCTTTTAGAGACCGAGTGCCCAAACTGCGACCCAAAACCCACTTATTTATCGCAAAGTGCCAACACGGCAATTGAACCTGAATACGGAGGTTTTCGCACTGGAATAAGGCATGGTTGGTTCTGCACCACAAATTCAACTTTCAGCCACTGAAAACTCTGTATTCCTGTCACTGGAAGACGAGCGGCCCCACCATTCTCTCCAGCCCAAAGCCAAGTTTTTAGGTGAGTTGTTCACAAAGACGGGAGCCCCTAGAACAACTACGTGCATTCTTGGCCCAATGACCCTAAGAGTCAATAGTTTCGGGGTGGGGAGGGCACAGCTTTGGAGCGGGAATGGGGTGAGTGCCGACTTCTGTTCCTCACACAACTCTGAAACTAGGAACTTGATCGAGGTTTATAAGATTATGCATGGGATAGAGCAGGTTAGGAAGTACTTTTATCCCTTTCTCACAATGCAAGAACTCGTGGGCACTCCATGAAATTGCTGAGCGGTCGGGTGAGAACAAATAAAAGGAAGTTCTTCTTCACCCAGAGAGTGATGAACACATGGAATTCACTGCCACAGGAGGTGGTGGCAGCTACTAGCATGGACAGCTTCAAGAGGGAATTAGATAAGCACAGGGGTCATTTCCTGCAGGAGCGCACAGGAGCGGAGCTCCAGCAGTAAAGAGCCCAGGGGGTGGGCACATGCAACAAGTCCCACCCCCTGCTCCCAGCAGCCCTCAGTCAGAGCGAGAAGCAGCCAGGTAAGTTGCAGAGCCCCCAC